TGACGGATATGCAGGTTGTTTGGGTTTTGGTATTTGGATATTGGATCTGATGTTTTTCTGACCAAAACACTCACACAAGATGAATGTTGAATGATGGAATGATTAGATCTCTCAATGATGAAGCTCTCTCAATTAACAACCTTCTCTCTTAAGTTCTGTACGTGTTCTGGTATATATAGATAGGTCAAAAAATCAATGGGTTGAGACAAAAGCCTTTAAAACACGAAAATAAAATTTTCCATATAAAGCTGTCGCTTAAGCGAAGAGCCAGCGAAAGTCGAGCGACAGTCCAGCGAAGCAGTTTCTATTTTTGTAACTCGACCCAACCCTTGGCGATAGTCTATCGAAAATCCGCGCCGTTTTTCTCCTTGTTCCAAACTCGAAACCCTAGACCTATTTAACTAACTTTTAAACAAATTGCACATTACTCCTTGAACTCTGACACTCTATCAAATTAAGTCCTTTTGTTCACAGAATTAGCCAATTACAAAATCAACTAAAACCTAACAAACTCCCCATTTGGTATTCTATGACAAAATACTAATCTATGTCAAGGCAGTAATAAAATAAAAGTTACAGACTCAAAATAATGACACAACGTAAACTACAAACTATCTTGAACGAAATCTACAGTACCCGTTTCCTGAAATAGACAACTCAAATATCAATGTAAAATGTGTGGAAAACAGTATCAAAGATAATCATAGTTCAAACAGTTCACTTGTAGATGTCATTTAAGCAATTGTAACTCAAACAACATATTATGCAATGTTAAATCACAAGCTAAACTAAGACACAGTATTAATGCAACCCAACATACCAAAACATCAAAAAACTTAATTTAGCGAACTGACTTCAAATCATAAAGTGCAGATAAAGAAATGATATATCAACTCACTTTTGCACTTTTGCAATGAATTTTTTCTCCCCATTTTTGTCACAAAATGACAAGAGACAAAGAAGAAACACACAACATCACAATAATGTAGGTATAATCAATCACAAGTAGATGCAGTGAACAGTAAACTTTCCCACAAAGCCAACTTAAGGAACCCATGGAGTAAATGATAGAAGTGACTCATAGGTGTTAAGTGTCACTAATCCTCTGGCAATAGGACTCCAAACCTTAAATTTGTGAGAAATGACATGCGAAACATCACTGCTAATAAGTATATTCCTCTACTTATAAAAGTCAATCCGTATAGCACATTAGAACCTACATATGAAAAGCTCATTTCTAATGAAGAATTTATTTTCTCCCCCTTGCTTACAGGACAGATATTTTTTTTTCTAAAGTCAATAGGAATGCTCACATATTTTTTATTCATCTTAAGTGCAGACTCATTTTCATTAAGCGACTAACATGACCCCTGTAACGAGCTTTAGGCCGGCTAATCCAAGTCAGATGACCATAGGCACCAGGCTATGAGAAAACCCACAGGCTTAATTACTCAAGTCAAGTAGGCTTCGAAAAGAAGCATTAAGATATTGAGACCCTTATGATTATTTTTCCAGACATATAGTAATTTGTGCAGGGGTAATATCGAGCTTAGGTCTAAAAATGGTCAATTCATGTTTAAAGTCACCCTACTAATATGTGACAGCCATCCCAAATCTCCCACATGCAGTAGAGTCCCATTTTCAAAATCATAGTGTGTGCAGTGCAGATGGTATATGAAGAGACCTACATGAAATACTCCATAAGCATCCTAAGCTAGCAATGGAAATTATATTACAACCCACAAAATAAACTCACTCTTGATTAGAACCAACAAAATCAAGTGTATTGTTACGCTGAAAAACCAATTTTCAAATCAAACTCCTCCTTTTTTTTTTTTAATAAAAACATGAATGCACCAAGCACACAAAATATAAAATAAAATGCATGAGAACAAGTAAATAAATATGATGCATGCATAAAAAAATGTCATACAATAGTAGAATACGAGAACGCATCAGATAAACTCGGTCGATGAGGTACACAAATATCAATAGCTATTCGAAGATATTCAAACCGAAGACCATCCAACGGTTTAGTAAACAAATCAACTAATTGGTTCTCAGTAGAAATATGTTCAAGATTCACAATTTGATTTTCCACAAGCTCTCGAATAAAATGATTTCTGATTTCAATATGTTTAGTTCGAGAGTGTTGAACATGATTTTTAGAAATATTAATAGCGCTGGTGTTACAAAATGCAGTAATAGTACCATGTTCAATCCCATAATCACTCAACATCTGCTTCATCCAAAGCAGTTGAGTGCAATAACTTTCTATTGCAATGTACGCATCCTCGGCTATGGACAATGAAATGGAATTTTGTTTCTTAGTCATCCAAGCAACCAAATTAGCACCAACATAAAAACAACCACCAGAAGTACTCTTTCTATCATCGGCATTACCAGCCCAATCAGCATCGGAGTAACCAGCAAGATCAAGAGTAGAGTCCCTAGAGTATAGGATCCCATAATCAACAGTACCATTGACATATCTAATAATGCGTCACACGGAGCTCAGGTGTGATTCTTTAAGATCAACTTGAAAACGCGCACATACCCCTACACTAAATGCTATGTTTGGTCTACTAACAGTGAGGTAAAGTAGACTACCTATCATACTCCTATACAGTATTTGATCAACACTCTTGCCTGTATAATCTAAACCTAACTTTACACTAGTGCTCGAAGGGGTTCTAGTGTGTTTCTTGCTATCTAACCCAAAACGCTTGACAAGATTTTTGGCATATTTCCATTGAGATATGAACAATCTCTCATCAGTCTGCTTGACATCTCAAATTCTTGTTTCATACACTAAGTGAAATCATGAGCAAGAGAATCAACAGAAGACCCAAAGACGATGTCATCCACATAGATCTAAGCTATGGTGATGGTATCCTCAATCTGTCTTATAAACAAGGTTCTATCTGTACCACCTCTCGTGAAATCCTATTCTAGAAGATATGCAGTAAGCCGATTATACCAAGCTCTAGGAGATTGTTTCAGCCCATACAGAGCTTTATTCAGTCTATATACATAGTGAGGATATTTCAGATCAATAAACCCTTTAGGTTATTCTACGTAGGCTTCTTCCTGAAGAACATCATTCAGAAAGGCACTCTTGACATCCATTTGATACAATTTGAACCTCAAGGAACAGACAACTGCAAGAAAAATTATAATAGATTCAAGTCTAGCTACCAGGGTAAAAGTTTCATCAAAATCAAAACCTTCAACTCGAGTGTATCCCTAAGTAACCAACCTACCCTTATTTCTCGTAATGGTAACTTGATCATCCGTCTTATTCTTGAATA